TCACTTTCGATCAACAAAAAATGAGCGCTGGAAAAACTCAAGAATGCTCCGGAGAAGATGTGTGTGGCAGATCATAACCACATTCCACTCATCATGATGTCGGAAGGAACTAAATTGATGGATAGACCAAAAAAAACGGAGAATACTTGTTGATGTCTAGTAGAATACATGCTCCTCTCACATAACCAATCCCTTGGTCAATTTTTTCGTTTCTGCAGTTACCATAGATATCATCGTCCCTCCATCAGACCGGGCGGCAACTACCCTGTGATTGATCCGTGCCAATGATTCCGTTCTCCACAAAGCCACCAGGGCAAATCCACATTCCCTGCCCCGATCTCATTGACAGTCGAAAGTACTCTCGCTAGATCGTCATTGCTCCTCTTCCCTTTCCCTCTCCCTCCCACGGCTAGGATCGCCCCTTGTCAGGGTCATATGTGTGCTCGTCTCCTCATGCGATCCGTACAACTATCATATATCTATATTCCCCGACCGTCTTTCCCAGTTCCAAGGCCTATCACATTACTCACAACATCTATGTCTAGTTTCTTCGGGAAGTATCCTCATTCTAATTGGAGGAAGAAGAGAGAGAGAGAAAAAGGGAGAGAGAGAGGGCGGGAGAGAGAGAGAGAGAGAGGGGAAGAAGAGAGGGAGAGAGAGAGGGAGAGGAAGGAGGAGAGAGAGAGAGGGTGATAAGGGGAGGGAAGGGGGGAAGAGCGGAAAGAAGAACTTAGAAAGAACTTATCGGTCCCTAATAGCGATAGCCGAGATCTTATCCTACCCAAAGAGTGCGGAGTGGGGGAAGGAAGAGAGAGGTGGACTACAGGTCTTTCCAGGGGGTACAGCAGAGAAGTTACCCTAGGTGATGATGAGACTTCACATCCCGTGTGGTCCTAATGAGCATGACGCACTTGGTTCAGGGAAGGGAGAAAGGATACCAAGCAAGAAAAAAAGCACCGTCACCTTTGATCAACAAAAAATGAGCGCTGGAAAAACTCAAGAATGCTCCGGAGAGAATGTGTGTGACAGATCGTAACCACAAGCGACCCAACATGATGTCAGAAGGAATTAATTGGTGGATAGGCCAAAAAAAATGGAGAACACTCGATTTGAGTAGAATACACGCTCTTCTCACATAACCACTCCCGTGGTCACGCCTTCAATCCAGTGCTTAGAAAAATCTCCGTCGCTCTCTCCCCCACTGTTTCTGCAGTAAACCATACCATCATCCCTCTATCAGACCGGGCGGCAACCACCTTGTGAATGATCCGTGCCAATGATTCCGTTCTCCAYAAAGTCAACAAGCCATATCTACATTCCCTGCCCAGATCTCATCCACAGTCGAAAGTACTCTCGCCAGATCGTCATTACTCCTCTTCCCTTTCCCTCTCCCTCCCACGGCTAGGACCACTCCTTTGTCAGAGTCATATGTGTGCTTGTCTCCTCATGCGATCCGTATAAGTACAGTAAACTATCATATATCCGTATTCCCTGACCGTCTTTCCCAGTTCCAAGGCTTACCACACTACTCACAACATCCATGTCTAGTTTCTTCGAGAAGTATCCTCATTCTAACCGGAGGAAGAAGAAGAAAGAGAGAGAGAGAGAGAGAGAGAGAGAGAGAGAGAGAGAGAGAGAG